TTCTCCAGGAGTAAAGAGAAAGAGAAGGAGGGATGACAGTTTTCTCACCCACACAGCAAACTAAAGTCCTGCGTCACATCAGTTCCCATGACAACATGGATATGTAATGTGATTAGACACTGGACACACACACACACTCGCTCTCACACACACACACACACAGGTTTGTTTTTGTGAAAAGTGGGTGCTCGTCAAAATCTAAATGTGTCAGTTCAGTCAGTTCATGTAGATTGTGATAAATAATTCTGATGTGTGTGTGTGTGTACCTACTTAACCATATTTTGGGGACAAATTTGCACCCAAAAGTGAGCTAAACCTGACAAAATCGACAAAAACCTCCCTTTGGGACTTAAACTTTGGTAAAACTGGTATAAAAATAAAGTAAACAAAGTTTTTTTTAAATTGTAAAAATGCACAAAAAAGGGGTAGGGTTGGTGTAGGGCAATAGCACATTCAGTTTGTACAGTGTGTGTGTGTGAGTCTTTCATGCTTTGTCAGTGCTCTGATGTAGATGTGATTTTTCTCATGCTAATGTCTGATGAAAGCGTTTCTGTGTTTCTGATAAATGGCTTTACTCGCACACCTGCACACGTCTAATGGCATTCAGGTGTTCACGTCTCTATTCTCCCGCGCCGCTCTTTTGTTTCTGACCTGTAGCTCTGATTGATGAAGGTTAAACGGGTTTTTTCCTCTCTGAGCGTTACTGCGCCCAAAATAACCACAATCAAAGGTGTCTTTGTTATTATCGCACGACAACAAACGCATTTCAATGCGCTTCCGGTGCCATGTGTGTGTGTGTGTGTGTGTGAGTGCTGAATAATGAGCAGATATTGTGTGTGTGAATCAAACAATCCCTGAGATGACAGAATGCACGTAGAGTTTCAATTCTACACTCTTATCTGCTACTTTTGTAGGGAATTCACAAATACACAATTTTCCAGTCTTTTACATTCAAATATGTTGTTCAGTTCAGGCGTGACCGATTATCGGCAGTAAAGAGCAAAGGTAACACTTTACAATACGGTGGCACTAATATGCATTAATTCATGCTTAACTAATGCACAGATAATTATATAAATAAGTAATTAATATTAAATTGTGGAAATGCCATGGGTTTTTATTAGATGATAAAAATATACATTTTACAATCCAAATGTTTTTTTAAAAAATCCTTAAAATTTTCAGACACAAATGCCAATTCTTCCAGATGCATCTGCTGATGTGAAACACAAAACCCTTGTGCATGTTCGTCTTCGTCATGCATCATGCAGAAACACTCCTAACATCAAACATTTCTATGTGAGAGACACGAGAGAAAGAAGTCAGGTCAGGAACGGCGCTGAGAGGGTCGAAGCGAGCCATTTCTCCGAGAGAGCGATCGCTCAAGAACATCTGTTTATCTGCAGAAACGCAGTCGCTTTAATGAGAGTCTCTGTTAAAGCTCCCAGGTGTCATTTCTGTGAGCAGCTAAAATAACCACACTTTTACAATTCCAATAGAAACCTGAGTCATGTTTGACAAATGCAAAACTTTCTGAGCTGAACCGTGACGAAAATGTCACTGATTTGGGCTAATAAGTTACGGTTCCATATACAGTCAAACCAAAATGTATTCAGACACCTTCAACATTTCTCACATTATATCACAGTTTATTGGCTATAGTTTAGAAAACTGTACTAAAATATGAGACCCACTAGTAAAAAAATATCTAAAATTATATCTGCTGTCTGAATAATTTTTGGCTTGACTGTAGATATGATGTAATGTCAGGATTTATTTTCCTGGGCAACCTGAAATAAAACTGTCAATCACAGCAAGCGGCCAATTAATTAAAGAGGGGGAGGAGTGGGCGGGGCTCACTTCAGAGGGAGGCGGGTGCTGTGGATTTGATTGACAGCTTGACATCAGAGCCATTAGCGGAATGGAAATGTGAGGTCAGGATGAAAGATAACGATACGCTGGTTTTTAGACGCGCCATTAAAGTTTCTATTGAGCGCACACACACTTATACTGAAGGAACGGCTTCGATTCTTGTCGATCCTGAACGTTTTTATGTATGATATACTGAGAGATACAGGAGCAGAGGTCGGATGTGATTGACGTGTGCCGTTGTTCAGAGAGAAGAGAGAAAAGGAAAGCGCTGGATTCTGACATTTCTCACAGCACAGGAATCAGTCACAACTACACTCTTAAAAATAAAGGTGCTTCACAATACCACCTTTTTGTCTAAATGGTATTCAGAACGAACCTTTAACATCTGCAGAACCTTTCTGTTTCACAAAAGCTTCTTTGTGGTGAAAGAAGGTTCTTCAGATTATTAAGTAAGGTAAGAAAGAGATGGTTCTTTGACTGAATGGTTCTTTGTGGAACCAAAAATGGTTCTTCTATGGCATCCCTGTGAATAACCTTTGAAGCACCTTTATTTTTAAGAGTGTAACACCTCAGATGTGTGCAAGCCAATAAAGCTCATTCTGATTATGATTTTTTTCAAGGACTACTGTTATGGTATTTAATATTTTAAAATGTCCCCCTTTTTATATCTACAGTGCTTAAATTTTTTTTAATTTAATTATTATTATTATTTTTAAGCCTCCATCCCAAATCCCTTTCATTGTGTATAAAAGAGCTGATCCTTTCCATGCAATGAAAGGATGATCAAAAACAGATGTTTCACAAAAGAAAGCAGGTTTGCAATGTCACAGTCAGTATGTTTACAAGGACAACAATATTCCTATTTTAACACGCTTAAGACAATACTCAAAAAACCAGAGATTTTTGATTGCATTAATCCGGCTAAAGTCATACTCGAAGTAAACACAAATCTAATTAAGACATGTGGAGTATTCCTATTTTAGTCGCATTACTGAAGTGCATTACACAAAAGAGCATGGCTTTAACAACGCCTTCGTCTGTTTGCTCGTATAGCATGACAAATAATTATCTGCACTTGAAGCTTTCGTAAAATTAAAAATGAAACACCCAAAACTGTATATGGCACCATACGAAGACGAACTGTATGTTTATACGTGAAATTCTAGAGGGGATGTCCGATGGGGAAGTAATGACGTGTGCCATTAATCGATTTATGCACTATAATGTAAAATGGGAACATGAAAGGAATATTCTAAAAGCAGCTCATCTAAACACCTTAATCATAATATTGTCTTATTCAGAATAAGATCGCAGTATTCCTTCAAAAGCACTGTGCTTTTATTATGACATCCGCCCACAGTTGATTAGCATAAGCCCCGCCCCTTACCTGAGCTTGCCCTCTGACGGCACCTCATGGGGCGGATCCTCACATCGCAGCCGAGACTCCGCCTCCAACAGGTACACGAACACACACTCCTGCAAAACACCAGCGAGAACAACAGCTGAGAGCGCAGTCCGAGTCATTAGTCGTGATTAGACATGTGCAGGTATTCGGTAATGCAATATATCACGATAATGAATATGCACGATATTGTTATCATGGGCACTTCAAAATACCGTGAATGACTTTTTTTCAATAACAAATTATTCATATTTTTTTATGCATTTTAAGAATACTTTTCCCATCAACTAGTCACAATGCACAACACCGCTGTATGCTGTGTCAAAGACAAGCACGGATGAGAAGCGCATTCACTCTCTGACAGCAGATGGCGCTGATGGAACAGCAGAAATGCAGCAGTTACCCCGGAAACCCGGAAAAAAAAAGCAGCTGCGCTACTTTCTGAAACGTATTTAAATTATTTAAACAGCCATTCAGGTTTTTGTATTCGCTATGGTGTTTATCGCAGCACTGAATACTTAAGCACTAGGGCTGGGATAATAAATCGAAGCATCACGAATCGAGAAATGATTCTGCATCGATTCTGAGATTTTCCGAAGGCATCGCGATTCTCTCTTGAATCGATTCTGAGCTTAGTTTTGAACAGCAGATGGCGCTGCGTGCTTTAGAATTAGCCGTATTCTGCTTGCTTCCAGTTCCTTATACACGCACCACTTGAACCTAAAATAATCACTCATAAAGTTCGAAAACGTTGAAGCGAATTACAGGGATGTTCACAGTGGGCTGTGTTTACATTCATCTCGCATCATAAAAGCCAATGTGCAATTTAACCACTTACACGACTCAGCCGAACGCACAAGCCCTCATCTTCGTGAGCATTTGAGTGTGTGGTTAAAAACCTAGAGCGCCATCTGCTGTTAAAAACTATGCTCAGAATCGATTCGAGAGAGAATCACGATGCATTCCGAAAATCTCAGAATCGATCCACGAAACGCGATGCATCGATTTATTGTCCCAGCCCTATTAAACACTTAAGGTCATTGCACACTGAGTCCGAAATTTTCGCACGTTAAAAAATAAATACGACCTCACGTCGTGTCAATCACGTTTACACACTGCCTCCGAAATTTTCCTCCGTCATAAAAAAATTCGGATTGGGTTCAATTTTCTGCGTTTTTCGCATCCGTAGCAAGCATTTCGAGACGTGTTTTGACGATTCAGAGCCACCCTACAAGCGAACGCCACAATCCAGAATGGCGTCTGACAAGTTGATCCACTTCGTCTCGCAGCACAAAGCACTGTATGACAAACAAAGTGTGGAATACAAAGAGACGGAATATAAATATAGGCCTAAATATATCGCTCGGGATAATCCCGCAGCTCCTTGATATGGAGGTGGAACTCTCCTTCCTCTACATACGCAATCTCAGAAACGCATGGCCCCAATATTTTAATTATTATTAAAAAGATAAAAAAGAAAGAGGAAATATTGGGTCCATCCAAGAGAGAGGACAATAAAATCCTCCTCACTGCTTGTTTTGTGTATTGTTTCACAACGGATTAAATAATACACATCGGACTCAGTGTGCAAGGTTTCTGTGCGTCACAAATTTTTAGGATGCCGGACACAAAAATTTCGAACTCAGTGTGCAATGACCTTTAGACTTAATAGGCTATTTATTTTCAAACTTTTTTACATTTTAATCTGGACTACAATATGTCCTAGATATTGCTTGAAAATGTTTTGATACTTTATTGTTCGGTCACACTTTAAATTAAGGCTCTAACATTAGTCATTTAGCATAAACTGCCAATGAAACATTCTTCTAAACATTCATTAATCTTAGGTCATTTCAATATTTAATAACATAAATTAATCACAAGTTGTAACTGTGTTATTTAATGAACACGAGCTAACATGAACTAGCAGTTGATTAATAACTTCTGCAGCAAATGTAGCTATTGCTCATTGTTAATATTAATGCATTAGCTAAGGTTAACTAATGAGAACTTAATGTAAAGTGTTACCTATTTTTTATAATTATTTTGCACTTTAATCTGTGTTAAATGTTTTCGGCTACTTTATAAAAAATGTTTGTGCATTGCTTTATTGTAGTTAAATGTTCAGTTCTTTTTGTTATAAGAAAAAAGTTGTTATACTGTATTATGACAACACTTTGTTGCAACTACATTCCAATACCGCGATAATACCGCATACCGTGATAAAAGCATTAGCAATTAATCGCAACATGAAAAGTTGATACCAACATAGAACCGTCCGCAATCTCTCAGTCTGTCACGACTCCGGCCTCCGCGAGGTTAATCAAATGCAAAGTACAGGCTTCGTTAACCCTCATTAAACTCCGGTGGTATTAACGGATGAAGCGGAGCCGCCGTTACCGTGGCGATCCTGCTAATTTGTCAGAAATGTCAAGGCAAGTTTTCGACATGATTCCTCAACCTCTGTTCAACGAGCGTCTGCTCGCTGTCTACATAGGCAGCTGTCTTCTGAGGGAGCATGTGAAAATAACCTAATAAGTGATACTTTATATAGAACCGAACAAAAATGGCTCTTGGTGTGAAGCGAACTGAACTCAAATTATTCCAAGTTTGACTTTAATGTGTGGCAAAGCCAATTATGCCATGATCACAATCGTCTATTAAAAATTCTTAAATTAAGATGCATTTAGTCTTAGATATTTAGTCTTGTTTCCGGGGGGGGGATACTATTCGTTTAACAGAGGGGTAAGCCAAATATTCTTAAAACAAGAGTATTTTGCTTACCCCACTGGCAGATAATTGTACTTATTTTAAGCAAAATGCACTTAATTTAGTTTTTTCCCCTAGAAACAAAACTAAATATCTTAAGTTGTTTTGCTTACCAAGTAAATGCATCTTAATTTAAGAATTTTTAGATATTTGGACTAGAAAGAAGACAAAAATACTACGTAACATCAGCCTTTTTTTGCAGTGTAATCAATATTTCTTTCACCAAGTCCACCTTCTTAATTCTTTTCTTCCTTGAGTTAAAGGGATAAATAACATTTGGCATCATTTACTCACCATCATGTTGTTCCAAACCTGTATGAATTTCTTTATTCTGCTGAACATAAAAGAAGACATTTTTAAAATGTGGGTAACCAAAATAGTTGACGGTAGCCATCGACTTCTATAGTATTTTTTCCCCAAAGTCAATGGCTACCAGCAGCTGTTTGGTTACCAACATTCTTTAAAATATCTTCTTTTGTGTTCAAAAGGAGAAATAAATTCATACAGGTTTGGAACATGAGGGTGAGGAAATGATGACAGTTTTCTTTTATGGCTGAACTATGCCTGCATTCTGGGATTGTGTTTTCTGCAAAAGACAGCCTACTTGCGATGTGCTTCAGGTAGCATGTAAACAAAGTTCTTGCATATCGTTAAACGAATAGTTCACCCAAAAATGGAAATGTGTTCACCCTCAGGTCATCCGAGATCAGGATGAGTTTGTTTCTTCGTCAGATTTGTAGAAATGCAGCATTGCATCAGTGTCTCAGCAATGGATGCTCTGCAGTGAATGGGTGCCGTCAGAATGAGAGTCCAAACAGCTGATAAAAACATCACAATAATCCACAAGTAATCCACAGCACTCCAGTCCATCAGTTAACATCTGGAGAAGACAAAAGCTGAAACAAATCCAGCATTAAGACGATTTTAACTAAAATACATTGAGTCCATAATCCATAATAACGCTTCCTCCAGTAAAAAAGTGTTCTGGTCTGAATCAGGAGAGAAATCAAGCACCATTTAAACAGCTCTAAACAAATATGTGGCTAGATT